ATTATTTTCTTAACAGTTGACATTTTTTACTGAGATGCCTGATTAAATAAAGGCTTTTCAACATAGTCCACCTGGTGCCTGAAGTAGGTTTTCTCATTTTTGTCATTTCTGTTATGGTCCAGCTTCAAGAGCACCTTAAGATTTTCTGGATTTGTTGGATGTTTTTGGATTGTGAGCACAAAGCTTTTTCTCTTTTCCGGCACCGACTGGACGAGATTTAAGGAAATAAAAATAAAACAATGACTTGACAACAGCTTGATCCATTTTGTTTGAATGAATGGTTTTCCTGCCAGTACTGAGTAACTCAAAGTGATTTAACCTTCAGTACCAAACAAAGCACTGCAGGTGGAGCCTCTCACACTGCTAAATTTTAAAGTATACCAGTAGAAGCAGGATGACGATCGACATCGCTTTGTTTGTGCAAAAACATTTGCCCATTTTGTGTTTGCTAAGAGCTGTAAAAGTTGTCATGTCATGCCAGACTGTGTCAGGTTTTGAGAACTGATTACAGACCTTGACTCCCACCTCACCCTCCTCCTCCTCGTCGTCTTCCTCCTCCTCCTACCTGTATGAGGTGATGCGCTGACTGCCAGAACTCCCCACTCTGTGATGCTGTCAGGTAAAACGCTGTCCACATTCTTGGACGCCAACCTGTTGATCAAATCGATGTCTGTTATCACCAGCAAGAAGGTCCGAGGTCACAACAGCAGCTGTTTTAGTAAATGCAGCATAAACATCTGTGTAGCACGGTTGTTTAAATATTGATTTACAGGAAACAAATAAACATACAAATAAGACTTAAAATTGAAAAGAGTGGCTGTAAACTACTATTCTTTAGTGTGTCTTTTTAGAATTACAGATGGACTTTCTAATGTTTCAACATACATCTTGCAATTCTTAGGTCGACTGCTGCATTTCACAATGTAAACAAGGTCATGCCACACATACATTAGTACAGAACATGAATGTTTGTGTGCACATGCACACGTACAGGACAGGGCAACACAGATCAGTGTGTGTTTGGTTACCACAGGTGAACAGAGTCAGCTCTGTTGACTCGGAGCCGTTTGTTCAGCCGTTATCACTGACCAAACACAGCACGATGCAACCCAGAGAATTTCTACAGTTACTTTCTGTCCGATATGATGAAACGGTCGTGTCCTTCTATTTGTTAGGCAGCGTAACCGAACGTCAGTGGCTGGACAGATTCTTTTCTGTCTGATACCTAAATGTCCCTAGATAAATTCTGGTCATATTTTTTAGCTTTTATTTAATTATTTTTTTTACCTTTTTACCATATTTTCATGCCAATTCCCAACCAATTTTTCTCTGCAACAACCTAAGAGATTAGAAAACTGTACTAATATAGATCAAATCTAACAGGCAACTCTGTCGCACCAGATGAGGTTTTATTAATCCAGTGAGACTGTTCTGTCTCTGATGCAGCTTCTACTCCACTTACCCGTCTCTGTCTGCATGGTTGGGCAGGATAACATCTGTCCACAGCCAAGACTCATAGAACTTGGAACGCAAATACACCTGAGTCTCATCCAGGTACTCCTCCTCCTCCTCCTCCTCCTGTACTGCCACAGACAAATATCTCTCTTCTACTCTGCGTTCCACTGTATGGAGCATGTGCAGTCCACCTCCACCCAGTCCAGGTTGTGCAGACACTCCAACTCGATGAAGTCGTACACGTTCTCCAGGTATTCCTGACAACCCAGGTAATTCACATTTTAGTTCAAAATCTATATGGAGACATTTATATATGAATAGAAGGTCTTCATCTTATTCCACATCTCTTATTAGATAAGGCTCGTATATATCAGTCAAGGAGCTGTTCACATGTCTGCACCCACACATACGAATTCCCAAAGGTGCCTGGTGGAGGTCTCTTGTAAACACACATAAGCTGTTTACATTTACTGTTTCATGTCCCCCTGAGGATGAATTGTAATAACAGACTGTCCTGTGATTATTTATCTAGCGCCAAAAATTTAAGTTATGTTTTGGGCACATTTTGCCTTTATTTTGTAAGTGGGTCATGTAACAGTGGACAAGGGAGACAGAGACAGGGAGCAGGGGGGAGACCTGTGACAAATGTCGGCGCCTGGGCTCAAACTACAGATGTCGTGCACGCACTGCACATGTGTATATTGTGCACCGAACAGTAAACATTTGGTTATTGGGGCGTCTCCTCAGGTCAAATTTTAATTTCTTCAACACTTTGATCAAGTACCCGAAATACTAACGATACTCCCGCCATCTGCAGCTGTATATTGTGTTTAGTGATGATCAGCAAATGTAGCATCACTCCAAACCAACAACACAACAGGTAAACATTATACCACAGCATTTCAAAGCTATTTCTTAAAATGTTTTCAGATATAATGCAAGTTAAAAATTAAACAGAATGCAAAAGATAAAGTTCAGGAACAGTAAGTACTCAGGCCAAGTGTGTAGCAGGGGCCATGCGCCAACGCACCGACATGCAGGAATGGAGTAGTGGATCTGGGTGGAGGTGAGGTTGTGGTCATGGGTGGTGGGGTGGTGGGAATCTCTGTGTTAAACTCCTGGTCTCTGTAGGTGGCGCAGCAGTAGCGGAAAGCCCGAATGCACTCCCAGCCCTCAGTGATGTAGAGGGAGCGTCGCATACAGGAGTACGGCGTGGGGATCTCCCGAAGGCTGTCCTTACAGCAGCGGTGCTGCAGCTTCTCCTTGTAGTGGCTCTCTGGAGGCGTGTGGGGTGGAGACATCAATATTAGTAATAAAGTAATCAATAGTTTCTTCTCAACAATTAATTATGGTGTCATTTACTGTATGACTCACTATCAGCACACGCCACTGACCATGTCAGTGCTTGCTCAAGGGGGATTTATTGGGTTTTTCCTCTATAATAATAATAATTTACTCTGTAAAGTGTCCTGAGACAACTTTTGTTGTGTTTTGGCGCTATACAAATAAAACTGAATTGAACTGAACACAACCTGCCAAGCCCCAGACAGACAAAGTTGATGACCAGCAGGTTAAGAAAGTAGAAAAACTTGCAGCTAAAGAGACAGATTGTTTTTCTTTTTAGATCTAAATAAGCTAAAAAGATAACACCTATATTCACCAGGTGGCCTGAAACATGGCTCCAAATAATTGTTGATGTTGCTGACACATTTGCCACAATACCTTTCTAACTTTTTTAATGCTAAATGCCTCTGGAGCCAATCCCAGCTGACATTAGGCGGGGTCCACACTGGACAGGTTGCCAGTCAAGAGTCTCCAGTCAACCTAAGCTGCTTGTCTCTGGACTTTGGGAGGAAGCCGGTGTACCCGGAGAGAACCCACGCAGGCACAGGGGCAACATGTAGACTCCACACAGAAAGGCGGTAGCTTGAACCCAGAGGCCACAGCTTTAACTGCTGCGTCACCATGCCACCAACCCTCTGTGATGAGAGGACACTCACCCAGCTGGGCTTTACGCTGCAACTGTTCAGCAGAGCGCCTCCTCCTGGCACTGCCTGAACACTGCAGGGCTGAGGATAAGAGAAAAGAGGAGATGAGAGAGGAAAGGATAACAAATTTGAGTATGGGAAGTAAATGAATGCATATAGTCAAGATATTAAATAAAGGCACAAGGTAACTGCAATCACCAGGAAGCTATCAAATACCAGCATTATACTGGCTGGACATATGAGTCCCTGTTTGTCACATTGGCTTTGGGTCGTGAGGCCTCATAGCTGTGACTCTGTCAGAAATGACCCCTGGCAAATTAACCTGTACCATACAGGAGAACCTGCAGTTCAGCACAAGCCTAATACACAACAGTAATATGCGGTACATAGAATGACATTTAGAGATGACATGTGAAGTCCTACTTAAATTTTTTTATTTAAATTAGTAAATTTTGTACTAATTATTCATTCAACTGCAAGATGTTAAGATTTAAGATGTTTAGTTTATCTAATAAATGCATTAATCAATAAAAACTGTCACAATGACCTGATGAGTAAACCTCTTATGTTTGCTCAAGCACATGAGTTAATCCTGTAAATTAAACTTGAGTTCTGCTCAGCGGCCTCAGTGGAGAAGCCAGAAGACGTGGACGACTTCTGCCTCCTTGTTTAGTCCTTTGTTATATTTTTGACAGTAACATAGCAGCTGAAATTCTCCTAACACAAGGGGGTGGGTACTTTGTCTGATTGGGGTTTTGTGCCCGGTGCTGGAGTGAAAGAGCAGTCCTGCATCTGTGAACACCCCCATGGCGTTCATGCCTCCCCCTCGGGTGCAGCCGATGTCACTGTGCTCCACCACGTCCCAGATCTAAGCAACCAAGATGAGGAGACATCAGGTTTTTACAGCTCTGTGTCTGAGTTTCAGTACAGCACTTTGTAAAGACAGGTGGTTTATGGTATAGAACAACAAACAACCTGTTGACGTGTGACACCAGCTTCTACTATTAACTACGTGTCAATGCATCACTTCTGAATTAATAGACTAATTTATAATGAAAGCCTTAAACAGAACAGATTCTACATGTATCCTTTTTCAGTTTCAATGCAGTGGATGTTGTTGTAACACACAGAAACACACACCTTCCTCTGGGTGAGTCTGTCCCTGCTGAGCAGGTAGACAGCGTTGTCCACAGCCACCAGGCTGACCTTTGCCCCCGGGTCACCTCTGACCCTAAAGCTAAAGCCCTTCCCAGGTGTGTAGTCTCGGTATTTTTCGCCCACTGGTCCAACTTTCAGCTATAGGGGAGAAAGAAAGACAAACAACATTTGATGACTGAGGAAAGTGTCATGTTTCAGGCCAGGACTGGCAAACCTCAAAAAATTATGCAAATAGTCAAACAAAAAAGATTTGAAGAGTAAATCAGATTTTAAGAATAAGGTTAACAAGGAAGGTGTTTCCTTGTTTCTTTCTGCAGTAGGACGGTGTGTGTGGGACTGAGTTAAGATCAATAACAGTGTGTGTGTTCACAGTAATGACGGAACATGTCCCATCTGATGCAACAGCGTGATGTTTGTTTTAAAAGTTGTTTAACCGATGAAGCTCTGTGGCTCAGAGGATTCATTTACTGTATATCAGGCTTCAGATGTACAGATGACACTTGGTAGTAGGATACATTCACTGTTGGTTTTGGTCTTTTCATGGTATGTGTTGATTATAAGGAAAACACACAATACTGACAGCTTTATCCTTTAAGCCTCGCAGGGTGAACAGAGCCTGACTTTTATTGTCACACACACACACCGTGTGTTGCTGTGATTACTTTGTCAGTAACCTTTCCAAACTCTGCCAGTGACCTCTGAGGCCAAGCTGAGTACTGACCCCTCCAACACAGGAATCTGCCACATCAATCCAGATGGAGTCTGACACCACCTCCTCATGCCTCTCCCAGGGGATGCTGTAGAAAGCCACAAAACGGAACGATGGCATCATCTCCGCGGTGACTGCCAGTCTGACGCTGGTGACATCCTGACCAGTCGCATCCACGTGCCCAGCGTTCATGATTTTGCCCTTACTGAGCACCTGAGACAGTCCAGAAAGGGAGCCACTCATGGTTAATACTTCTTGTTTGTCTCTCCTCAGATTTTGTGTTTCTTGATTGTTCTACTTTTAGCTTCTGTGTTTTTAATTCCATGTGCATTGGAAATGTGATGTGGTGCTCTCGTCTCACCAGGTAGGTAATTTGTTTGATGAGGTCTCTGTGTGTCTGGTCTGCAACAGCGATGATGAGCCTTAGGGGTAGTATGTCTCCTACAGACACTGTGTTGACCCCTGTGGAGATGTACAGGTAGTTTTGCTGGTGGTGGCTGAAGGCGATGTACGGCTGAACAGTGACCTGCTGTCTGGCCTGCTGCTCTAGTCTCAGGTCGGCCTGAACCGTCTCAGCCTGGGAAACAATAAAACAAATTCAGTTTGTGACAGTTTTGCCTTCATAAATCCAAAGAGATGCCCTGTTGTTCGCTGTCACATGGATAGAAAACATAGAAAATAGCTACATGGCGTCACATCTATATAAAATGATTTATTTCTGGAGTTTCAAAATTGAGTTACCAATAAATTGTATGTACTTTGTTCTTTCAGGCTCCAGGTCCAGACTGTCAAACAGGAAGTGGGAGATTCCAAGTGTTTCTATAGGGGAGGTCTTTGGACCTAACCATACTGAATACAGTGGAAGGATTCATGGTTTTCAGGTCATAGATTAAATTTAGGGTTGGTGATTTCAGAAGCGTTTTTATTACATTTATTGAAATTCTTTTTCCATCCCAATGGCAATGACTAAATTAAATGCACTGACAGCATAAAAATAATCTGCATTATCTGTAGCAACAGCAGGGCTGAAAAAAGCCTGACCAGTAATTTTACTCAGTCTGAGCAAAACCACTGGACGGCCTACATGCTTGTCAGCCGAACGTCCTACTTGCATGCACTCTACCCTTGCACCCTTGGAGCCAAGAGTCTCCCATGAGGCCAGGCAGGCCGATATGTTACAGGAAAGAACCACTGCAGCCCAGTATAAACAGTCTGTTTGAAGTCCACTTCCCACAGCATGAGACCTTAGTTTTAGATCTATGCTCATCCAGCTGCAGGTGGGTAGAAGCTCTGTGACTGAAAGCAGCATGCAGTGATACTAACAGTGATGGTTTGTGGTTGTTGATCCTTGGGCATGTTGACGGTGGCCCTGACAGTGCCAGAGGTGACAACCAGCGGTGAGTCCAGAAAATTCAGCTTGATGGGGACGTTACGGCTCAGGGAGCCATCGTGGTGACTAACCTGGATCTAGGAAAAATGTCTACATGTTACCATTTTTGACTCACAGTGACTAAACTCAGAACACAAAATCACAGGACCCAGAGTATATCTGATGTCTGGTATTTGATTTTACTGGTCATCCCAAAAAAAAAAACAAAAGAATATCCGGTTTCTTACTGTGACGTCAAAGGGTAGGCCTGGTTTGAAGTACTTCGGTATGTCTTTGAAGGATACAACGTAGGGAGACTTCACAATTTTAATCCCGGTCTTTTCAGCTTCAACTAGGTCACTGCCTGTACCAGGAGAAAAACCAGAATCAAACAGCAGCAACACTAATGTCATGAACTAGACTCTAAGGTTCTCTACATTTTTTCTGATTTTTCACAGTTCCAGAAGAAATATTGCAGAATTTTAAAACATTTATTGGGTAAAACTAACAATTTTAATGCAGTTTTTATTTGTAACAGCTTCGGATGTCAGCTCAACAGGACTTCTACTTTCAGACATAAAATAACAGCTGCCAGTTTCAAGCTCAGTGCCGTTTTGTGTTTTTTCACAAGGTCGACTTTTCTCCTGTTGTTGTGATAAAGGAAAGAGTCAAAGTTTATGATGACTTCAGTTTATTCAGGAGGCTAAAGAGCATGTTGATGCACATCTAACCACAGGCTACATTTCAAAACCAGATCTGCACAGATGATGCCACTGATCCTTTCTGTCGGGGCGATAAAATAAACTCTGTCCTGATTATAACATGAAGAGTTTGGTCTTACTGAGCTGTGATACAGAAAAACCAACAAACCTTGATTTGGCTAATATGATTAGAGGCAGCAGCACTAAACAGCCCACATCACCATTTGTTCACACTCATCACATAGCATCTTATGTCCTGGCTTGTTCCCTACAGTCTCCATTTGTTGTTCTTTATGTGTGCTTACCTGACTTGGTGAGCACAGACGCCTTGACGTACACAGAGTTGCCCACCAAAGATCGAATGTTGGGGTAAGCTCTCTTGATCTCCTCCACACTGAGCCTGGCGACTCCTCCGTCCAGCTGCAACAGAACAAGAGCGCAGTCATTTTACGAACCATTTGACAAATACGTTGAACGACGTGCGTGGACCTCCCCAACAAATGTCTTTACATCAGGTATGTAGGCTGATTTAATGCTCCAAAAACCGTGTTTATCCAGACCAAGAATAAACAAACATTTTGGAGCATTTAGTCAGTGTGTGATAGGGATGGAATGACGTTGTGTTTTTTCTCTATACACAATACGGTGTGTACGATTCAATTCAATCATGATAGAAGTAAAAATTCAGTGACAACAATGTATGAATAGCTCAGGAACATTTGTACTTTTTTCTTCTTTCTATGTAAAGAACAACCATATATACCAACTACATCTTATTTACAAAACATATGAGGTCCCTGGTGTATGGAGGCCGCGCGATACATATCGCTAGATAAAACAATATATATAGTGACGTTTTTGTATCGCGATATATTGATTTTCGATATATCATCCCATCCCTAGTGTGCAGGCTCTTTTTACTTCACCAAACATTTGACAGAAATAAGGGTAATTTTGCCACCATTACAAGTTATTACATAGCTCACAGGTACTGCAGAAAGATGGCACATATTTAGCTGGGGCAGTGACTTACATCTGACACCTGCTTCACTGAAGGCAACCTTCTCATCTCTTTGTTGATCTTCACTCCAAACACCACATAGGCCGTCCCTTGAACTTGCTCCCCATATAGGTACCTGAAACACCACAGCAGTGGTTAGTCAGCAGTCAGTGGTCTTCATTCATTTTTGTGGTCATAGTTTTGGTGTGGGGATCTTGCACAAAACATTTTGCATCTACTGACATCTTCAGTTGCTAAAAGAGGGTTGGGTCATGGTTTTAGAGTTAAGGATAGGATAAGGATTGTGCTAAACTAAGCACAGGATGCGTAGGATTTGGCACATAGAGTTACTATGATAGTCAACTAGAGCAACAGTCAAATTTCAATCAGAGAGACTAATCATGAGATTAGGTTTACTTTACTATGTTAGTGAGGGATAAGAGTCAAATAAGTGTGTGTTTCTGTGTGAGTATCTCAGACCAACCTGGCTGAGATCTCTACTTCCAGCTCAGTGTCATCCAGGCTGAGAAAGGACTTCCTGGGAGTCAAGGTAACATTGAAAGCAGGAAGCACTGAAACACAACACACCATAAAAGTAAATCATAACTATTACACTGCAGGTGTATACCTCCTCAATTAAATGATTTAAAGTGTGAAAGCTGTTACTGATGTTACTGGCAAAGTGTGCACAGTGTAACTTCACCTACCATATTTCTTCACCTCAAATTGGGAGGTGAACGTGTTCTGCTGCCAGTGGTCAAACTTCGCAGTCACCAACCACGTTCCTTCACTGCCGTACATTCAGCCATATTAGAGAAAAGCTGTCTGAATGCTGCCCATTCTCATGAAGTTAAAAGTCATAGAAGTTACTGAGGTGGAGATTTTATAAAGCTGAAAAACCTCAAGGAATCAGCATGTGTCCTTTTGCCTCCAGTAAAGCCTCATCCTGATAATCCTGGATCTTAATGGATCTGCATTTTACTTTAACTTATTGCTTTTAAAATAAATCTTTTTAATATCTTGGGGAATGTGATTGTGCTGGATGTATAATAAGCAAGATGCTGGTGCAAAAGTAGGTGAATGCAAAAATTCTCTTGGCACCGGAAGGTGTTGAAAAATGAATTGATCTTACTTGACAATTTCAGGGAGAGGAAATGTGTCTGGGAAGACTCCATTGACAGCTCTACTCCTAAAGATCTGTTTAACCACCACACCGTCTGGATTCTGAAACAAGCAGACACAAAAATGTGTTTTCTGAGCTAACAAAGCCTCATCAACAGGATGTCAACGAAATATTTCTACAACCCACTGTGTCTGCAAACTTGTTGCACTGTACCTCCCCCAAAGTATAAAACATTTATAGTAAGACATCATATTTAATATGGCTGCATCTAAGGATTATTATCAATTAATTTATTAAATATTAAATTTGAAAATACTGAAAAAAAGTGCCCAAACATTTCTGAAACACCAAGTCTTCAAATGTCTTGTTTTGTCTGAGCAACAGTTTAAAACCCAAAGATAGTCATTTTAAAATAAGAGAAAACAGAGAAAAGCACCGAATTCTGTCATTATCAGAATAGTTGCCAATTCTTTCCTAATCGTTTACTCTTTTACCTTGATGTCTATTGTGATGGAGCTGTCAAAGGCCTTAAACGATGGAGAGGACACAAAGGCTCTGAACCGAACTGGAGAAGAAGAAACAGACAAAAGAGCAGGTGAAAAACATTCGAAATGAAAACTTTCATTTCTTGTAAATCAAACAAACACCGCTGATACCTCTGTCTACAAGTTGCATCATCCTTCTTAGTACTAGTACCACTTATATTAGTACTGTTTCTAGTTCTCACCAGTATCTCCGGGGTTGTAGATGGGTTTGTCGGTCTGGATGAAGATGTACCCAGAATGAAAGGACACCATCAGTTCCCTCTCCTCAGAGTGGAAGCCCATAAAGGTCACGTTCAGATACACAAACTTGTTCTTTTTCTCTTCACGATTCAGCTGATCCGAGGGAAGCTGGAACAAAATGAGATGGAGAAGCAGGATGACTTGTATTGTCTGCACAATTCACAGGGTTGCCATAATCTCTCTGGGATTATCTGTTAACACAAAAGAACAAGGGTTAGAGAACTCATCCCTTTCAGTTAATATGTTTTTATAGCATCACAGCATAAATGGTGACATTCTCCCAACGTATATTTGGCCCCCACGCTATGTCGCCTGGATGTAGTGCACACATATTTTGGTTCACTGCAACATGTAGCCTAAGTAATCACACAGTACAGACTCAAATAAAAATCACTGACCTGTGACTGTGTGTAAACTCTGAATGAATGTATTATTTCATGTTTGCCATGGTTACTGTTTATTGTTACTGTCATAGCAGACATGTCAAATTTGCTGTGACAAGAAATCCCTAAGCGCAGCTGTTTATTATTATTATCACTCATTGTTGTCTATGTAGGGAGCTCATTTAAATAACTTCTGTTATCTCAATATATGATGAGTGTAGTATTATTAGAATACATCACCCAAGTGTATATATATATCTCCTCCTAATTCTCACTTTCAGTGTCATCTTTAGCTTATTTATAGGGAGCTGGTGACCATGCAAAGCCATTAGTGTTGTAGGCTGGTCTTCTTAAAATAGCCTGGATGATAAAACAGTCACCTGTATAGCCTTGAGAGTACAGAATCCATTTTCCCGACTGAGTGTGACAGAGTCCTCAAGCAGCCTAACGGTCTTACTGAAGTCCTGGATGAGGATGGAGACGGTGACAGGGTCGGACACGCCGTCTGCTTGTAGGTAGATGTTCTCCTGGGTGTCTGTCTTTAGCAGGTCTGGAGTCAGCAGCTTGAACCTGTAGGACCACACCACAACATGAGGCAGATGAAGTTCAAGATATTTATAGGCTACATTTTTCAATAATAGATCAATATTTACACTGGTTTAAAGACATCTGTGTGTCCCCTTCAGCACTACCACTATTAAAATAAAATGCCAATACTCTCCTGGAAGTGCAGAAAAGGCTTTAACATCTGCATTTAGCTTTATATGCCAGGAAGTAAACATCACATTAAATATATGCTAATAGATTTAAAGAAACAGCTAAAAGAATTACATTGATTTTTTTTTTTAATTCTGAGATATTATTTTGTGTATCTTTTCAGGGGAAGGGGAACATGGGCTCAATATCTCAGATCCTGAATAACGCTACTACTATTAGATCCCAACTAAAGCTACTATTACCACTAAAAACAAGCAACAATACTTAAATGTTTGGTTGTGAAAAGCAAGTAGAGAAAGAGGGAGAACTGAGGAGTGATGTCAGAAATCTACATCCCTACAACTGAGGCTTGACAGTATATGGTCTAGAGAAGAACTGAACTCATGCATCAAGTAGTAATACAGCTTGGTTTGACTGGTGTATTAAAGGATGGAAGGCTGGGTATTTGAGTAGCAACTGTACCTCGGAGAAAAACTAATTGTGTCATCAGGCTTCTGTGTGCTGCAAGTAAACAAGACAGTATTGATTCAGTCATTACACATCAGAGCACAGTGAGGCAGAGGTAAAAGGAACAGTGTGTGATAGGTCACATGGTTATTAGCTTCAGCATGGTCACTACTAAAAATTAAAACAAGGAGAGAACCAACAAAGATAACATTATTATGGGTTTTACTAGAGAAAGTCTCATTGTTTTCTTTTTTTAAAGACATGCCACCATAACAATAATGTTTCTATAGCTGAAAACACTATATTTATAATTCATACGGTTGTTTGTGAATGTTTTAATTCTACTTTTCAATACAAAGCACTGCAAAAACAGGCAAGCAGCAGTTCATGAATGCACACACACAGTCAACAGAAAGTGGAGAAGTAAAACAGCCTACCGTCGTCTATGCTCACTTTGTCCATTGGAGTAGCAGAGAAGCACGAGAAATAAAATGCTGTGCAGCGTCCACTGGCCCATCTCGACGGAGCAGGAGTCTCAGTGGACTGTGGCCCCTGGAGAGACACTCAACTACTCTAGCAGACTCCCAGACCCCTCCTATGTCTGCAGCCAAACAAACCAACTGCAGCCCTGCTGGACAACAAGTCGAGTCCTGGTGTGGACCACAGGGACCCGCATTACCATGTAGAAACATTTCACAGTGAACCACTGGATTTGGATTCTTCAGACAGAAATCAATGTGTTTTTTCCAGTTATGCTTAAAGTTTGGCCCAGAACAAGGCTCACCATCACTAACTGCAGTTAGCATACAAAACACACAGTGCAGGGCTGGCCATTTGAAAAGCTACATCAAACCCTGTGAAGTCAAACTGTCGCTAGAGACTTGCTTCTGACAAACCCATTTCAAGTCCAGCATGTTTTCTGAAAATGTTTTAAAGATTTGTGTTGTGAGCAAGTGTCCAAAGGTCTCGGTGCTACCTGCAATCAGCAGTGACGCTTTAGGGCCATTGGCAAAAAAAATTCATTAAAAAAAAAAGGTATAAACCAGCACTTTACAAAGAAGGCTCTTTACAAAACATTACATTTAACCATTCAGGATTTTGTGGTACTTGGCAAAAATGGACTATTTTATTGTAAACTATTTCTTTTACCCCAGAAATGAATAACAAAGTCCTGTCAAATATAATTTTGCTTAAAACAAAAGGCTACTGTGCCAGTGATTACTGTGGTCATTACTCTGAACCACTGCTTAATGGAAAACCTGATCAGCAATGATTTTCTTTCAGAACGGTTTCTGCTACATGGCTGCCTTATTCACTGATCCCAGATCTGTGTCCAATGGTGAAGGGGCCATTCACAAATTCCACTACAGCTGGGCTGGGTCTTGAACCCAAACACATCAAAACAACAAACAAAGGTTTTAACAGATTTCACATTTAATTTGACAAGGATTCTCACACTTCTGTCACTAGAAAACAGAAACTTAATCAAACCAAATATCTTAAGCTGTGTTTGCACGAGGCCAGTGTAATGCCTGAAAACACTGTGACGTCACCCTGTCATCACCGCTGCGTTCTGCAGGCCACAGTGTTTACAATTAAAAATCTGATTTCTGGTTTTTGTTTAGAAGATTTCTAATGTGACTGGATTTATGAGTTCACCACTGTCTGTCAACAAGTGAAACATGTTATAGCAGATACAGCTGTGATGAACATCTGCACCTAGTTTTACTTTATGGCCTTCGTTCAGTGAAAGCAGAACCTGTCCCATTCGGCTTTTCCATAGAGAGCGCTCTCACTGTCCAGGGTCTCAATCTGAGTCGCTGTAGTCTGCCACCAGTGATGTGACTGCTCCTCTGCTTGGGTCCTGCTCCTTCTCTCTGTCAAAGTCCTCAGACATCATCAGTCCTTTAGCCACATCCTCTGTGGTTTTAACACTGCCATGTGTCTCTGCTACTTCCTGACCCGATGGTGTTGGTCTATCAGCTATATCAGCATCTTCCACTGTCAGAGTGACCGCTGAAATCTCTCCATCACACGCGTTGACTTCAGGGTCCGACTTTCTGTGGGTGAAGGTGGCGCTGGGTTCGCTTTTGATTCCCGGTCCTCCTGTGCGTTTGCGGACCAGCGGACTGTGTGAGGAGCCAAGAGCTTTGGCCACCGCTGCTTCCTTCCCCTGCAGGCCCAGCTTATGGAGCAAAGTTCCCGCAGCACCCCCTGGTGTGGCTGAGGTGGACTGAAACCACGAACGAGACGAGATCTCTTTCCTTTTGCTGTGCTGCTTGTCCTCATAGGCTGAGAAGGAAGGAGGAGAAAACTTTAAAGAAGTCCAGTTATGAGAATTCTGACTCTGCTCTTTGCAAAGATATGTTTTCATGTTAGTGTGTCTTTTTGTTAGCTAGCGGGATATCACAAAACCTTGTTGACAAATCTCTATGAGATTGTAGCATTTCACTCAAGCTTTTCATAGAAAGCTGCTCTACCTCAGGTGAAACACTGAATTAGTAGAGATACAGCTGTCAGGGTTCAAGTCAAATGACTTTAGTAAATAACTTTTTCCCCCAGTTGATTTTACAGGTACAGGGCTCCAGACTGGGAGTGATCAGTCACATTTATTTAAGGTGCGACTGACTTTTTTCAAAGGCCACAGGCTGTGCACGAATGACTGCTCTCCACAATAATATGTTTGCAACTTTTATCTCCAGGTCTGTCAATCGCCTGCCTCATGAAGCAGACACTTCATATCTATCAAATGTGTCCATCAACGCTGACTCCGAGACATACGTATCATCCCTGTTAGCCTGGAGCCCTGAGGTAAATAGTGAATCAGTGTGTGTGTGTTTGTGTGTGATCAGTCACTTACAGTCAGGTGCCTGATAGGTGAGCAGTGCTGCCAGTTTCTTGTCCTCTTCCTTCTCTGGCAGCAGTGGGATAGACAGGTTGGTCCTCATCCTCACTGTATTGTCCTTCTCTTCTTGCTCAGCCAGAACTTTCTTCTCCGTCTGCACCGCCAATTAAAAACAGAGTCTCAATGCTAGAACACAATGTCAAACCATGTCAAGGTTTAGTTTTTCCATAAGCCTCTCCTTACTCCCAGTGGACAGAGGGTGATATGAGAGAATGTTGGACATGGAACAATATACAGTTGACTGTACTAGACAACGCACATTAGAAAAATACAGAGGGGCTCCAAGTTCACACAAATCCTTTTATTTTATCACTGCAAACTGGAATTCCTAAAAAAAGAAATCTACCTAAATCTACCAGAGTTAGTAACAATATTTCAGAAAGCTTTGTTTTCCTCATCACTACACAGAGGTCTTACCCTGAACTTCCTGCGGAGGGTGCTGTTGAGATGGAAGTCATCCTTCCATCCAGACTGGTAGTCCTGGATCTCGGACAGAGACGGCAGAGCCTTTGTGAGCTTCTCCTTGTCTTTCCCACCATGATCCAGCTTGTACATTGGATCTGTCTCCAGCTTCTCCTTCTCTGTCCGCTCTACACACAGACAGCCAAGAGAGAACAAGAAACCAAAAAAAAAATTAGGTAAGGACTAATGTCCTTGTGTATAATAATCAATCCTTAATTGAAAAAAATCTGCTTCCTCTAGGATCTGATGACAAAGATATCTTTGCAGTTTCACATGGGCTGACACTTCATGATCAAAAGAAAAGCCTTTTCTGCCCATGTAGCACCATCAAAAACCAGTATACAGTATGCAAGTAAACTGAGCAGCCATGTTTTTATTAGATAAACAACATAAATGCCTTACCTGTGGTGAGGATCTGCTCATTTTCAGCCATGTCCCAGCGTTCCTCCTTCCTGCGTGCACCGCTCACTATCACATAGTCACAGGTCGCCGGATCTGTCTGCATCTCAATGTAGTTGACACACAGGTGGCACTTCATCCTAAACCTGGTCAAGGAGAGAAAAAAAAAGATGCAAATGTGTTAAGTTCTTCATTTTAACGTCAGATTTAAGTCACTTTGTCAGAAAGGTTCATGATGACGTTCTGCTGTATGAGGAGCTACTGGAAGCTGCAACACAGAGCTCAGATTCATGCCAGCGCTGTTTACCTGTAGATTGGCGTGGTGTAGTAATTCCCCACTTTTTTCTTCTCAGCATTGTAACGGACCCCTGCACAAACAAAACACCAGGGTTATGGAAATTATTTTAAAAAAGCACAGTATCAGACACAGCTTGACTAAATGGGTCGTGTTTCTCTCCACACTTACCCATGCCAATGTGATTTTTGCAGCCATCACACCAGATGTTGTAGGGCATCTCAAACCTTTAACAAAACAAACCCCTTGATGATGCTAAAAGCTACATTGTGCCATTTGTGCCTAGCGTCTGCTTTTATACATAAAATGTAAGTTCTTAACCACAGGAAAGTAAAGAATGTCTTGTATAATAATATTAGCAATGATAACAAATAAATATACCACATCTAATTACATGTGGTACAAATAGTAGTACATTTCAGTTTCGCTATCCTACCAGTGTGTACTAACCTGATAATGAGGATGCCCTGAGACAGTTTCCTGGCTCTCTCCCGCAGTGCGTGAGTATTATGGTAGCCATTGAGGGATCCATGCTAAAGACAAGAAATGATGAAGATGCAAGTCAGCATGTAAACACAAAAGCGGAATCAAAAAGATCAGCACCTTCTGGTTTGTGTGATCATACACACCTTGGCTGGATCAAAATCTGGAGGGTAGTATTTGTTTGTTCCTTTTCTTTCACCCTGTCAAGAAAACAGGATAGTACACGACTTTGTTAGTAAAGAGGATAAGTTGAGTATTTAAACATGTACTGTTATAACTATGTGTATAACGACAGCAGGTTCAGATCATGGCTTACCATAGCGACGACTGGATCTCCACCCCTTTCCACCAAAAAATAAAAATATAAAATCATGTCACTGACACCACAGAGCAATGCTAACAGTTTACATGTAAACAGAGATAACTCAGCCGATGCTATAATGCTTTATTCAGATTCTGCTCTGCAGCTCATTTACCTTGGCTGTCAAGAGAAAGGCAACAACTTTAACACTGCACTAACACACATTAATGTTAATTATTTAACCATAGGTACAGTCAGTACGGAAATTATCCAGGCTGTTTCAAGCTTTCCACACTTTGTGGCTTTTTGGCGTGTTTTGTAAATTTATTAAAAGTAAAAGACTGAAATATGTCATTTACACAAGTATTCAGTACCTTTGTTATGACACTTCAGCTTTGGTGCATCCTACCTCCCATCCAACCTGGCTGACTTTGTAAACCTCTGCCAAAAACAATGGAAGAAATGTCCAAAACAAAGGTGCCAAGCTTGTAGCTTCATTCTCAAGAAGACCTGAAGATGTCATCGGTGCCAAAGGTGTTTTAACCAAGTGCTAAGTGAAGGGTCTGAATATTTATGTTAACGGGATATTTCAGTCTATTTCAATAAATTTTCAAGATGCTAAACTAGCTTTGCGTCATGATATGCTGATATGATACGTAACGTTAGCTATGAGCTAATGTTAGCGCTTACTTTTTTCTATATTTGAAAACAGCAAACTGATCTAACTATATCTAACGTTAACTTGTGAATTTGGCATGTCATCAAGCATTTAACTTGCTGGTTAACTTCACCAATAACCACGTCAAACCTGACACCCTAACAATTCCCACCTAACCTAACGCTCAGGTTATTTTACAAGTTATTTCCCAACATTAAACTGATGGATTTTTGCGTGGAGTTTGGTGTGACGTCCAGATAGGAACGCATCACAGCTACAAGCTGGCTAACATTAGCAATATGTACCGTTACTATCCTCTTCGTGCAAATATAAACGGAGTTTAACCAAAATGACAACTGCAAATAAAACAGTTTACTCTTAGGTACAGATAAAAATTAAAAAAATACTTACAAGAGCTTTTCTCTTGTAGCTGCAAAAACGACCCACAAACCACGGGGCCGATGGGTAATGTTTACACGGAAGTAGCGTCAGCCGAACAGTATTGTGGGAAGGACCGGTGACAGGATAGAGAAAACGTGCTTTGCCGTCGAGCTGGATTCAGTTTTATTTGTCGATGCTACACAGATGGAAACTAAACCGGAGCCGCACAAACGTTACATTTGCTCGTTTCCCAACTGTTCGGCGGCTTATAACAAACAGTGGAAACTGGACGCTCATCTGTGTAAACACACTGGAGTGAGGCCCTACGCGTGTGAGTACGATGGCTGTGATAAGTCATTCTGTAGCCCTTATCACCTGGCAAGACATCAGCTCAGTCACAGCGGTGTGAAGCCTTTTCAGTGCACCGTGGATGGCTGCACGGAGGCCTTCACCACCAACGCCAACCGGGCCAGGCACATTAGCCGCATTCACACTCATGAACACAAGAAGTACGTTTGTAAGTTTGAGGGCTGTGGGCTGGAGTTCAGGAAGCACAAACAGCTGAAGTCCCATGTGTGTGAGCAGCACTCCCAGCTGCCCCTTTACCAGTGCACTTATGAAGGCTGCCAGATGCGATTCACCTACCCCAGCAAGGTGAAGCGACATGAGAAGGTGCACAGAGGATACCCCTGCAAGGAGGAGGGCTGCACCTTCTCAGGAAAGACCTGGACTGAGTACCTGAAGCACAGGAGGGAACAGCACCGGGTCGTCCTGAGGTGCGACAGGTGCAGCAGGGTGTTCAGGGACTCGTCATCCCTGCAGCAGCATCAGCAAGTCCACTCAGAGATGCGAGTGGTCTTCAGGTGTCCCAGGGAGAGCTGTAACAGGTCATTCACCACGACCTTCAACCTTCAGAGTCACATCAACTCCTTCCACGAGGAGCTGCGGCCCTTCGCCTGTACCCACACCGGCTGCAGGAAGACCTTCAGCATGAAACAGAGCCTCGAGCGTCACAGCATCGTCCATGACCCAGAGAGGAAGAAGCTGAACATGACAAGACCGAAACGATCGCTTGCTTCCAGGTTAAGCGGTTACAACGAAAGAAAGAGGGTGGCCTGCAAAAAGAGGAGGAACCCTGAGTCACAGAGGGTGTCCGCTGAGAGGACGACTGATCCAGCTGGTCCTACTGAGCTGGTGTCCCTGCTGCAGGACTCATCCTTCCTGTGCAGCCCTGCTGTGGACACACTCCACCTTTAACAGTGTAGAGGAATACACACCAGCACTATAAGGACAGCATGTACTTGATAAGAGCATTTGTAATGTACTGTTATTTCTAACTTGGTTAGTGGAAGTCTTGATATGTAAAGGTTTGTCTGCTCCTGTTAAGTCACCTTCCAAGAGTCGGAACATTTGGGCACTGGGGCTGTTTGGTTTGGTAGGCTGGAACCTCAAGGATCAGACTACCAGCTGAGTTGATTTCTCTTTACTTACTCTTTCTGAAGAAGTCGGCTTACCAACAGGATGAGAAACAGATCCTGGTGACTTTTTCAAAATTATTTCTGGAGCCATTACTTTATTTATGTCGTTTGTATTCAGAGAAATCTGTTTTATCAGCTTTTATAAAAAGTGGATTCTGTAAAAGAAGAACTTTAAATTCTATCTTTCTTTTGTATCATAAAAATATAACGGCACAAAGATATTAAAATAAAACCTGTGGATTCATTAAATGTATGTGGTCTATTTGTTACTGGGTGTTAAGTCAGGTTAATGTGGCGTCTTGTCTGGATGTTGATGGAAGGATCTGGTCTCTAATCTTTATTATTCTTTGCAGGACAACAAATGGAAATATTCCATATTTATGTTTATACACAGTCCTCCAAATTAGACTCCCCTTGCATTTCATCTGTGGGCAAACAAGTGAGGTTCTTGTAGCAAAGACAGGCCTGTAACAGGAAGCTGGAGTCACAGGAGTAAATAGACGTACTAATAATTTAGAAGAGGTAAAACATGGCTGTGATGCTGTTAAACCTTTGTGATGAATAACTTCAGCCTCAGCCCCTTCAAACACTCTTGATGAATGTAAACAGTAGCTCTTGGGGCTGAATGGTAGCAGATCCCTACAACCAGGTTCAAATCTGGTGCACATAACTCCTAGAAGAGTGGAGGCTAACACAACAGCCCATGGTTTTGGACTTGTATGTTCCCATGTGTTGGTCATGTTGATAGTGTATGTGTCTCAGCATTATGGTCCAGGGGTCTACAGCTGATGTCGGTGACTTGTCGTACCAGAGGAGGTGTGTGTTGTCAGAGGAATCACCGGCTGCACAGACTGACTGGAATGAAAACCTGCAGATTCTTGTCCTGAGACACGGTGGAGCATCTTAGCTTGGACCAACAGATTTATGGCCTAAACAGGAGCAGCTCCGTGCGAGTTTGAGATTCCGGGGCTAAATCTTCTCTGAATATTTCCAGTTACAGGAAGGCTGCTCCCTACATTCCTGCCCGCTCGGCTCAGACGAGCCCTATATGGACCGACTGTCTGACCAGCTCCCCCAGGAATGCACAGCAGACCTCAGCCAATTAGCATTCACACAGCTTGAATATTACATGAAATGCACTCTAATCATTTCCTGTTTTTTTTTACATGGCTGCTGTAGCAATAAAACCTGCATTCATCCTGTGGAACAAATGTCTCTGACCCTGCTGCAGAACTTACAGTAACACTGCAATCAAACACATACAGGAACTATAATAACAGTGTTGTCTTGTCACTTCAGTGGCAAATGTTTCAGTTAAAAATTATCACTTTGGATTGAAATACACTGTTTCATAGTGAGTTTATTTGGATTTGTTTCTTCACTAAAATAAAATGTCACCATTTTTCACATTTTTTGAATCTTTAAATCTGACTTTAACGTATCAATGTGAACCCATGTTTCCTATCTTAGGCCTTTAAGCCCAGTCTGGAATCATGTCTGAGCCTCTGTGAAGAGAAAGACATACTGATTGTGCTGGGTTCAAGTATCTTATCTGTATGTCTGGGTACTTCAACAGAAAGAAAAATATCCTTGCAGCTTATGTAATATGTTTTTTTTTATTTGCATTATGTGCTTTGGTGGAGCAGGTCTAAATATGAGACTAATGAATTGTCAGACATAAAGAGGTAATAAGTCCATTACACAATAGCCCTGTGTAAGGGACACCCACAGCATCAAACCACCATAGCTTGTTTTTATTTTAACTGCAAGATCAGGTTATTATGTCTTTTAAGTCCCTCAAAACACAGGATTTATTTTCATTTTTCTATAGAACAGGAATAAAAATCTATTTCAGATCTAAATTGATGCTTCATGCAACGAAATAGAAGTGCTGAACCTGCAGGAATGTGCCAGAGGAGACAGAGCTCGGGGAGTGGTCCTCCCCGTAAAGATCTACAATGCCTAAAAACCAGACAATCCTCTAATATTTCTGTAGAAATCCATCAGCAGCCCACACGCTAGACAAGATGCATGGGCACTACAAGAGAGGGGGCAGAGGAAAAACCAACAACAAGGGGTGCTCTTGAACAGAGCTGCAGTGGCCACCGTTAGAGGACTGGTCATACTGGGCTACTGTATGTTGCATATGATGAGATTTCTCATATAAGAGTAATGACATCTGCACATTTTAGTGTACTAGTTGAGAAAATATAAGCTCTCAGATAACATTATACGGTGGTAGAAGTATCTAACATCCGTCACCGTGACAGAGCAGGGTTTTCACATGCTGGTTCATAGTTGTGGAACAGTATCAGGTTGTCTCTGCAGGTCTGGGCTTTTGATCAGTGGCCAACATTTTGTGTCTTTTACAGAAGCTGATGCCACGTTCTGCCCATTCCTGTCTGACAATGCTGAATCCCAGACTGGTTCTGTAGGCTGTAATCCAGAGGCTCTATCTGCACTCTATTTCTCCCACTGCCTCCTCTGCCTTTTCATCTCTCTCTTGGCCTTCATCCTCATGTCTCTTTCAGAGGTGGAAGGAATGTGTCAGGTCCTTTTTCCTTTTTCATGCATGTGGTTTTCGTGCACATTACTGGGAAATGGAATCTTCCACAAAGGCATACTGTTTAGTTTCACTTTGTCAAATAAAGCAGTACCAATTTCACATATTCTATTTTTAAAAAAGTGATAACCTTGGAACTTTTAACCACATCTAAGGCTTTTCATCCACAAAGCATTTGATTAGCCAATATTTGTTTTTCAGTTACCATTTATTACTTAAAACATATCGTGTTATAGGGATTTGATGTGAGAAGAGTGGGTAAAAATGTTCTTTTGTAAAGTGATTTAATCAAGTCTGATATGATTCATGCACTAACTTTAATAATGTTTGCTGAACTCACTTTCTTGGCATTTTCACTTTGATAGTTTTTATGATTCAGTATTACTCTGCAATGTATGGAATTAATGCTATATATATTTATATTTGTACATATTTTTATGCTACATTAATTTATAATTTCCTGACTTTGCCTGTTTTCTCTCTTCCTTTATATGTTTGACTGCTATGCACCACAGCACCAAGGCGAAATCCCTGTATGTGAAAACCTGCTTGGTAATAAACGTGTCTCTGAGTTTTAATAAATGGGGTTATGGTATTCGAGAATGATCCCCGGTGTTGGACGTGAATGTCCTCCTTGATCTAAGACACTGAAATAAAACACAAATCAACACGTTCTGAAGTTAGTCTCAGACTGAGTGAACAAAGCTAAAGGAGGAGCCTGCTTAAAAACACAATCATTTTTTATTTGAGTCGAGTGCAGCCTCCAAAGTCTTCTCCTCGAAAGAATTAAAGAAATTCCTGGCAGGAAGTTCCATGGGCCGTTATTAGTTCAAGATTTACAGACTTGTAATTCACATCAGCAGAGCAATGATTCATAAGAAATGGAGCTGTTTAACTGTAATAAATAAACTTAAAGTCTCACTGGGCACACTCCTCTTGTCTATATATAACTAAGTGAAACCAGGAATCAGGCATTAACAAAGCCCAGCCAAAGTCATTTTACTGCATTTATTGCCTGCATTGCAATTCATATTTCATAATATATGTATTGTTTTGACTCATTCATTGATACTTTTCCTTATTCCTTTGTTAAGATCATGTTTCACCTGACTTTGCTTTGTTTTGTCTTTCAAATGTTTCACTTATTGATATTTTAATGATTCACTTTGATCACTTTGATGGTCAACTCCTGAAAACAAACTTCTTAGCTGACCGTGGCAGTTTTACAGTGATGCACATCACTGCACACTGTCCCTGTACAAAGTATATGTATTTAAATGTGCTAGATCTGAAGGTCAAGGGTTTAAAAGTTTGACCATGAACCACAAAGTTCCTGGTTTGTGTTCCCTTTGTTGTTATTTGCCATTGCTCTCTCTTCATTCCCTGTCATATCTGGTGTCATATAAGGCCATGGAACATGTTGAACAAACTAATCGTGGGACTTCATAATCTTTACTGCCAAGAATTAAAAAAAATGGAACCAGTGACTTTGAGTGAGCAGCCACGTGTCTTTGCTGGTTATTTAGGCCACATAGAGTTTGTTAATTTGGGGGAACTGTCTGGAATTAATTACTGTAAATCATACTAAAATACAGTCAGTGAAAAGACTTAACAGTCAGGAAAGCTTTAAAGTCCAATGCCCCTCAGTAACTGTCATAATTAATCTGCACTGTCCTCCCCAAGAATCCATGCAGGTTCATTAGGTGTAGTCATGCTCTTGTTATGGCTTTGCTGTTTTATCAAAAGGTTTTGGGAGTAAGTCATCGATTTATTGTCATGCGTGTTAAATCCCCTCACTAAAGTTAAAGGAACCTTTTAATGTTTTATGCTCTTTGTCTTTTTTATATTTTTGAACCATTATGTAAAGCATGTTGAATTGCTGACATGTATGAAATTGCTACACAAATAAACTGCCTTGCCTTAATGTACAGTAAAATATGGTGCTTGATTACATCCTGGCAGTAATATGGACAAATTTAATCATTTGGAAAGTACAGTAAAATAACCGGATTACTGGCTCAGAGAGAGAAGCAACGCTGCAAGTAGCCTCGACCTTTGACAGAAAGCACGTATAAGTTCATGGACACAGAGAACACATGACTTAGGAAGAACAATGTGTGTGGTATGTTACACTGTAGATGATTAGTGTGAAAAGTGACTGTTTTAAGAACAAAACATAAAACACCACTATGGTCAATAGGCCTTTTTCACAGCAGAAATGTTAAAAGCATGTTTTAATATCATTAATGCTGCCGATGACAAAATGTCTTATTCGAAAAAGGCAGAAGGGCCATAATAGAGTTTACATATGATTTCATTTTCTTTTCATATTTTCAACCTGATTGACATCGGTTTCTATATGATGTGTACTGAGGTGTTTGCCCTGCACCGCGATGGCCGATGGCTGAAATCCACTCACTGCCCCTTTAGGCGCTATAACTATTAGTTAATGCATATTCTCCATATTCTACATGTCAGACAAAAATTGCTGAGGAAATCCCTCAATTTATGGCCCAGCTCAAGACGAGTTACCCATTGTGGAATGTCTGCTGAAACAGGCCCCAGTGGGTTCTATTTATAACCTCCCGCTCTTCTTTGGCGTTTCACCTTTTGAAGATTCTTTTCATGCTCTCCTGTATTGATCCTCAGATGAAACATTTATAAGGAAAATGACAAAAGCAGAATAAAACAGGGGGCATTCCACAGTCACTCATCCTGCCTTTTTAACCTTTCCCAGCATGTCATCCTTCACATTTCCTACATGGATCATTTCTGAGTTTATGTATTGGTAAAGGTCTGTCTGAGTCCACCTCTTGGCTGTTTCCAGCTACGTATCTACTGGTTCATTTCTCACATATAACGTCATCAAAGTGGCATCACTGTCCGCTCTTTTGCAGCTTTTAAGAAACCCAAAGCTACCAGGAATCCATATTGCCAGTGGCCAACATCCTCTGGAAAAACATCTGGGGGAAACTCAACAATAAACCAGTGATTTACACCAATTAGATAATCTCGAGAGGACAAACCCGGAGCCTGCCCTCCTACGCACCCTGTCAGGCTCAGGTGAGTGGGATAGTCTCTTGGCAAGTAACTGGCTAGTGTCTGTCTCCCCTGTACACCTCATCTCACCCCTTCACGCCCCCTTCGTCTCTGAGGGATATATATCGGAGGTTGTGACTCGTCTGCATCTTAACCATCACTCACATCCACAGCCACTCGCAGACGCACAAACACGTGTCTGGTTGATTCTGAGCGACGGCGCAGACAAAGAGCAGACTCCAGCGATGAGGTCCCTGTTGAAGCTGGTTTTGATTCTGCTCTGTGTCCAGAGGGGAGAGGGCCACTGGCTGAGATCACTGGTTGGTAAGTGCTACAGGGAAGCTCGTGACCTATGACCTTATGTGCTTTAGGAGCATAAGCCTAAATATTATGATATTAATCATTTTGAACTCTGTTTTTCTGACTCTTAAAATGTATTAATTTTTAGTCAGAGTATAAAAAATGGTATTTCAGTGTGGACTGGGGTGAAGATTGAAACAGGTTTTGATTGGCTGGTTTTCTAGCAGTAGCTTTATATATCAGATGTGTAGATACGTTTTGTCTTCTTTTCCAGATCAGAGAGAAGAAACAGCATCTGCACACACATCTGCAAATGAGGACAAAAGTAGTAGATATTCAGCTGAAGATGACGGCCAAACAGAAGCTTCTGGAGTTGGGTCATCATTTGATCCCATCATCGCAGTCCGGTCACGCCGCTCTGCTCCAGACTCCCAGTGCAGCCTGCGCTCCATCCTACTGCAGGTTCGAGACCTCGGGCTGGGCTACGACTCAGACGAGACTATCCTCTTCAAGTACTGCAGCGGGATGTGCCCTTTGGTTCGCTCCAACCATGACCTCACCCTTACTAACCTGTTGATCAGTGGGGCGATTCCTCACTCAACCCCTGGCGAGCTATGGCACAACGCGCCCTGCTGCAGGCCCACCCACCACGAGGACATGGCCTTCCTCGACAACTTGCATCACTGGCACAAGGTGGAGAAGCTACTGGCAGCGGGCTGCAGCTGTGTGGGCTAGACAGCTGTGTGTGAAAGGGGGGAGGAGAGAGGTTAGGGGTGTACAACGATACGTTTGCTCTTAAATGGGGAGTTTCATTTCAAAATGATGCTGCTGAGGAACCTGAAACCTCATTTATGTGAAAACGCAATAAGCACAAAATGAAATCAGTTTTTGTTGAAACCTCCTAAATCCAGTTTTGGTGATTTAAGAACTCTTAGCATATTCAAGCATTAAAAAACTCTTCTGATAGCAGTCAAGCTACAAAAAACACAGGCTTCTGTTTTTAGCTCATCATCGGTTGCATTCTTAGAAAAGGGAGTTTTCCATCTGAAGCCAGCATACGTTCTTCAAATGTAAATACTTTTTAAAGAATGAAGGCACTGCTATTGTCAGCTGATCTGACAAAGCATCTAAAAGAGTAAATGGAGTCAAGATCCTACTACAACCTACTTGACTATTTTTGTAAATAAGCTGATATCTGTTTATATAAAACCTTCAGTGCAATTTTGCTGTTGACAACACAACAGATCACGTGTATGAAGCTGCGCATATACACTCCTGGTCGGACAAACGCAGCTGAGTGAAGATCTTTACAATTCAGAAATAGCCCCACAACATGATTAAAAATGTATTTATGTAAGTTATTTATTTATTTTGGTGCCATTCTTTTGTCATGCTGATTAACTTATTTTGTCATGTGCCCATCTTTATGTTCACTGTGTGTACAGTTCCCAGTTAATAAAGATAAACTTGCAAACAAATCAGTGTTTGTGGCAGTTTTTGTAAAAGAGAGAAATCGTGAGACAAGGTGTAATTTACAGAAGAAAATGTTTATTCAAGGTTTTGTATAAAAATATACGTTTTGCACACAAACAGAGTCCATGGTGTGCTTGTGTCCACACAAGCGATATTTAGTTTTGAATGTTTAGCTAACTCTAATAAATCCAACAGGACATGAAGGCAGATAAGCTCAGGATCATTTTTTGTCTTTATTTGTGTCAGCTAAACATTCACCTATAAAGATCTTTTTAAACAAACACTTTTACTGAATATTTTCTCTCCTTCAGCTCCCAGTAGAAGTCTGTGTGACTGGAGCTCAGAATAACCCGGATCCACAGACACTGACACATTTCACTGGTGTTGCTGGTGTGTATGTACTGATATAGCACCAAACCGCCAGGTTATTTGTTTGACACATGAGTAAGTCAAACATTTTAGCTGGGTCTCTTTGGATCACAGTATAATGTTTATCCAAGTCCAGATGTTCACCCACCATATGCCCGGCTATTGGCAGCTTGAAAATGCAGCATTTGCCTACTTTCGCCCTCTCTATGTGGCTGCTGCATCCTCCTGTGTCTCCTCTGGCTCTGCCCCCCACATCTGGATACGTCCCTCCATGGCTGTGAGGAGGCAGGTCTCTGTGGGGTGGAAGGACAGCGACTGGACAACAGCTTTTCCCACTGGTAGCTTCAATGACAATGAGCCCTGGAAGTCAGAGAGCCAACAAAATGTCACAATCATGTTTTCAGTGAACTTCCTGTAACAGCTTTTTAAATAAAGTTAGACTGTATTTGTATTAAATTTAGTGGACAGAGGCTTTGGGTAAAAGGATGACATGTCCGTGTGTTTGTGAAAAAATCTGACAACCTGGATACATGTAATAAAATAAGGCTCAAGTAGAAGAGTCTCAGTCGACTGACAGGTCTCTTGACTAATAACTGGACTATTCGACTACGGGGGGGGGGCTAGTGTTAGGTCATAAAATCAGTTCTGTCTACTGAAGTTCTGTTATGTGATTTACACTTTGGAAACAAATGTAACCAGATGCTGACCTCCACCAGGTCCCAGCAGTAGACATGTCCGTCCTCTGAGCAGCTCAGGACGTGGGTGTCTCTGCTGGACAGGCAGCAGTCCAGCTTGTAGCCCTTCATCGTATGTCCTGTGTACCTGAGTGAAACAAACAAAACAATACATCAGGGATGTTTTAGAGACATTTGCAATCAATAGTTTTTGAATCTCATAATGTTCCCTTCAATTGAGGCTGTGTTAGAAAGATAAAGACTCATAAAACTGACATGATTTTTGATGTTTTAGTTGGTGAAATTTCATTGGATCGGTGAGTTGGATTATTATTAGCTCCAGTTCCAGCTGCACCACACTGTACTGTCCTACTGGGGTTTAAAAAAAAGCTTTTACTGATTTAAAGTAAAGTAAACGTTAGGACAAAACACAAGTGAGCCACTTTGTCCCTCGTGGTAATAATGATTAAGTCCTTGCACTGCAAATAGTATTTTACTTAAATCACATTTTTACTTGGATTTACCTATTTTGGCATCATCTAATTTTCATGTTTTATACAAGAAAAAGTTTACTTACTAAAGTTTTCTATATATAAACTGATTGAGTCATCCAGCAGTGTGTCCCATCTTTTAGTATTAAGATTGTGTAAAAAACAAACAAACAAAAAAAGCTTTTTATGGATGAGTTGACCATTATTTGATGCCACAATGGGGACACGTCACACTGTAAATGGGAGTGAACAGCACTCACTCTCCGAGCATTTCACCCGTGCTCTTATCCAGTAGCCTGACTGTTGAGTCCAGACTGGAGCTCAGAGTGCACTGACCATCGTGACTGAAACACACACACGTGATTGGACCTGGAACACACAAACACATACACAAGTTACAGGGATCTCCATTTCCAGTGTAAATGTTACTTTTATATGGATGTAAATAAAGGCTGACAAAAGCTGTTACTTTATTTTGACTAACAGTTGCTGTCGTGACATTTTATGGATGTTGAAAAGATTACTAACTGCTGATGAAGTCAGTATGCAGCTGGCCCATTCTCAGGTCGTAGCGCCTCACTCTGCCATCCACGGACCTAACCAGAACATTTCAAACAGTGTCACAGGGAAATCTAAAAATCTGATCTCTGGCTAACTGGTAGAAAGGTCAGTAACAAAAAGAAAATCTTGAGATCAGCTCCAGATGAGGATGACTTATATTGAGTTTCATGGCAAAGGCCACGTCTACTGTGCTGACCCAGTAAGCAGCTCATGTTGTGCCACCTTCAGGCTGCTGACACCGTCCCGAGCTTCGTCAAGAATCTGGATGGGCTTGTATCCCCTGGACCTGGTGTCCCAGCACCGAACTGTCCCATCTATGGACCCTGAATGGTGAGAAAAGACACAAGACGCAGAATATAAATACACACACTGAATGCAAATAAATATAGACATTTTGTGAGTAAATATTAAAACCTAATTAAAAACATTTAATGATTAGAATTATTCTTGATGGCTTAGTCACAATTGGAAAGACAGTGGAAAGACATTTCACACTGGACACATTACCGTATCCACTAACTATTGTGCTTTGTAGCCACTTCACATGAGTGAAGACCCACCAGACAAGATGACGGTTGCTTCCTCATTGAACTGGACACAGTTGACTTTCTGTCAACACAAAATTCAAGTGAGTTAAAAAAAAACAAAAAAACTAACCAAACAAAAGTATGGAGACACAAAAGAACAAGGAACGCAAACTACACAGGTGCTACAAATAAGGATGAAAAGCTTTTTAAATGAAACAGACTTAAGAAAAATCAGGTTAGACAGAATTATAAAGAGCAGAACTGACCCCAGCGTGACCTCTGAGTTTGCGTGTGACCTGGCCTGTGGCAACATCCCACAGGATCACTGTCTTATCAGAGCTGCAGGAGCAAATCTGACTGTTGTCATAGGAACTGTGGAAGCAGCCAATGAGAAAAAAGTTTTTTCATCCAGGGGCCAAAGAGCTGTGTTATATAATTCTGTATAGACAGTAAACACATGATGGAAACATTATGAAGTGCCTAATCTGGACTAACTATTTTTATATTCATCACAGTGTTTCAGCATTTCTTCAAATTTACACTCACTGATCATGTGCTTCTAATAGTGCTCATTAACCTTCCTGTCTAGAGGAGGCTGTGATAATCATCTCACCCATCCGCATCCAGAACCTCGTATCCATGGCCACTGTATGTCTTCAGCAGAGTCCCTCGGCTCGTGCTCCACAGCTTGATTGATTTGTCACTGCCACAAGAGAGCAGGTAGTTCCCATCAGCTGACCAGACAGGGTGATAGGAGACAGAGACAAATACTGTATAAGTTGATGACATTTCATGTCCCATGACCCACATGGAGGATTCACACCAAGACTGGATTACCAACTGGGCAAAGCAGGAAACTACCCAGGAAACTCCACCTTACCAGGACACCCGAAAAGCCCCAGGTTTACTCTACATCATTTGGGTCTATACAATCTGATTAAATGCAAATTTGTTAGAAATTTAAACATTTGAAAAGCTTGTAACAATACATGTTTGTCTTTTTTTGGTTTAAAAATGACTGAAGTTATGAATCAGCCATCAAAATGGTTGTCAGTTACTTTTCAATCAATGAATTAAATAATAATTTATTCTCTAAAGTACTGGCTAGTTCCTGGGGAAATAATGAAACTGCCACATACAGTGCAGTGAGGGCCAATAACTCAACAACACATTTTTTGTTGAGGGTCTCCAAAGGAGGTTAATCCAACCACGGTCCACACTCAAGGTGCTGCAGGCTGTGTGCTTTGATAAACTACAGTAAGTATGGCACACAATCACACAAAATAAGTAAATGTATTTACCTTACCTGAGCCAGTCTACTGTCAGACTATAGTATGCATTTGTCCATTAGAATGATGAACATCTTGTCCCTTTCTTACCATTGAAGCGAACAGCTCTGACAGCTCCTTGCTGACAGTCTATGGTCCTGAGCAGATACTGGGGAAGCTGAGGAGCCTGGGGTCTGGGCTGAGGAAACGCCATGACATAAGCTGCGTCGAAAAACACAACACAAACATGTGAGCCATACCATAATATTACTTTAGACAGAACTAGTGTGTTTTACTATAACGATACGGCACAGAGTCACAAGCTGGGGCTAGCAGACCGCGTCAATCATCATCAATTAACCAATCGCATCATCAACTTACATAGCTTGGTAGACCCGATATGGTTATAATGAAGATAATGATGATGATAACAATACGTTTATCACTTTGGTAGACCCGATATGGTTATAATGATGACGATGATGATGATAACAATACGTTTATCACAACTTTGTTATCATTTTCTTGCTTCTTACACTAATTTTACCCATCATGCTTGGAGGTACGCGCAATGCACACTGGGGTGACATACTCACGTCAAAATAAAAGTTCTAAACTCAACTTCCCGTTTCATATTCGTGGGCATAATGGCTAACAGATTGCTGTACGTTTTTATTTTGAAATGACCGGATATAAGCCCCGCCCCCCCCCTTTTTTTCCTCCATTTCCGAGGAGGCAGATCAGCTGTGTGGTGGTTACCTGAATTTAAATTTCTTTGAAAAAGCACACACAAAAAAATAAGTGTGTTATACAATATCATGTCCTCAAACAACATGGCAGACCCAAGGAGACCAAATAAGATTTTAAGGTGAGTCTGTTATACAGAAAATATAGCTTTACTTGACGGAATTTGCTAATGACAGCTAACAGCTAGCTAGGCTACTAGCTTACATTGACCTGTAACACACAGCTATCCCCAGTTTTTGCCTTTCAGAGGCACAACACTTGGCTATCACACCCTATTACCATAGTTTAAGGGATCGACGACTTGCTGATTTAGCTGTCGTTAGGATTTAACACTACACTAAAAGCCACCATACAAAGGATGTCGGTGATTTAATTGTTGTGTTTCTTAAACTAGCGATTTTTTAAGCAAGAGAGTAGTTTTTCGATTTGTGTTTTGACATTTATTCCATTTGGCTTATCAACAAGCAAGCTACTTTCTCATCGGGCTTCTTTTCACTCAGTCTTTCAGTATAGGCCTTTTTAGTCATTGATTTATTTAGTTTGTGTGTGGGACCACGGTCGGGAACAGTTTCATTGAGGTGCACGATAATTATCTAGTGACTTGATGCATAAATGACTGTGGATAAAGTGGTGATATTAGAGTGTATAAACCATATGACTATAAACCTGACTGGTCTGCACAGAGCTGGACTAAAGACTGAGCCAGCCTTTCTTGTTGGAAGTCAGTGTTGGAGCTCAAAAATGCTGTGGTTGTGGTTGAATGGAAGCAAGTCTATGCACCTGGGTTTAGAAGTCTTATGGAAAGTTTTCCCAGAGAAGCAGGGGCTGGTGTAACAGCAGAGCAGTGCCCGTGGTTTGGAAATAATATGGGTGTAACAGTGCCCGGATCTCACAAAACAAATTAAGCCATCCAAAGTCAAGTCATTTTTTTTCCCATATAGCTCAGTGTCACATATTTGTCTCTATGGGCTTTTTAATCACCACAGCAGCATGACACCGTCAGAGGAGGGCTCCTTCTTCCAGACTGTGAATTAGAATCTCTGAAGTTTTGGTATGTTGCATAGGAGGGAATAAAAGAAGAATTTAAAATAATTTTGACCTATGTTTGGTTAATATACATTTGTGGTGCCTCAGATACAAGCCCCCAAGCACAGAGGCCAACCCCACGCTGGAGGACCCCACACCTGACTACATGAACCTGCTTGGTATGATCTTCAGCATGTGTGGACTGATGCTCAAGGTGACCCACAGACACGCACACACACCCCTTGTTCTCTGCCTTTGTATATGCTTATGTGCGTTTGTGTGTCCATGCTGAAGGGTAGACCTTGACCAGAGCCCCTTTGTTCCATTTATAAGATTGAAGGTAACCTCACCTTTTTAAATGAAAGGATGAAGGGCAGCTTTTGATTTTCAGTACAAAGGACACACTAAGCAGTAGGCTAGTGTGGCCTCCCAGACCAGTAGTAGATAATTTGTGTAGTTGAGTCCCTTTCCATCAACAAAGAGCTGTTTTTCTTGTTGGTGTAAATTCTTATTTCAAAATAAATTGTTTTTTCCGGATAATATTTATTCTCTCTCGAGGAGTAAGGTTCCGGTGTTTTGTTATTGGACTTCTGTGCTAGTCACAGTTTGTCCATAACGAACACCATGTTCAAGCATAAGGGTGTCCATCAGTGCACATGGCACCAGGACACCCTAGGACGGAGGTCGATGATCGACTTTGTGGTTGTTTCATCTGACCTCCGGCCGTAAGTCTTGGACACTCGGGTGAAGAGGGGGCGGAGCTGTCAACTGATCACCACCTGGTGGTGAGCTGGATCCGATGGTGGGGGAGGAAGCTGGACAGGCTCAGCAAACCCAAATGTATTGTCAAGGTCTGTTGGGAACGTTTAGCAGAATCCCCTGTCAGAGAGAGCTTCAACTCCCGCCTCCGGCAGAGCTTTGACCCGAATCCGGTGGGAGGCTGGAGATATTGAGTCCGAGTGGACCATATTCTCCCCCTCCATTGCCGATGCGGCCGTTCGGAGCTGTGGCCGTAAGGTCTCCGGTGCCTGTCGTGGTGGCAATCCCCGAACCCGGTGGTGGACACCGGA